AGAGAGAGAGAGAGATGGAAACATCAATGATGAGAGTCATTGATTGGCTGCAGCCCGCAACCCGGGCATGTGCCCTGACCAGGAATCGAACTCTGATCACCTGGATCCTAGGTCGATGCTCAACCACTGAGCCACACCCGGCCAGGCTAAAGACTATTTCTTAACTTCAAAATGCATTCTTTCTAAACTTGATAGTATCTACTGACTCTCCACCAAAGATGATGATAGAAACTGACACACTTGCCTGCCCTCACCTTCCTCTCCTGTTTTTCTACATCTCTGGTCTTCTACTTTTACATTGTCAAAGCTTTTGATATTTAAGCCTGATTTATAATCATAGCTAAAACTTCAATGCTTTAGCTATACCTGATCCTAAACACTAGAAACTAATTAAAAACAATAATATTATTTCACTACATTTGTGTTAAAAGAAAGTTTTCCAAATGTCAAAGCTAAGTGTTTTCTCTTTTTTTAACCCCCAAGAACTCAAGTCACATTTTATAGTTTTGATTTCTTAAATGAAAGAGTTCAACATTTCATAGCTCATTAAGTATTATCACTATGAAACAACTATTTCAGATCCACTAATTCTGGTTGGGAGGAAAAAAGAGAAAAATCATACCAAGCCAAAAGAGAAAGAACAGTACCCACTGTGTGAAGGACATGTAGTGCCATAAGTCCTACAATTTGACACGGGTCATATCTGTGCTTGGACTAGAATAGATGTTAATACACAACGCTAAAATCAACTGAAGTATTTAATGACAAACAAGTATTTATATTGTAATTCAAGTTTAACCTGCTTTATAGTTACTTGTAAGACCTACTTATAAGAAACTAAGTTTAGCTTCTCTATCCTAATTTGATTCTTAATGTTCCTCCAAGGATTAGTTTCCATATCTATATCATTAATAAGACACAGAATCTGCAAGTTAGAATGGAGCAAATGTGTCCCTGGCTCTGAAACCTAGCTTACAAATGGCTGCTTCTGGTTATAACTTNATGGAGCAAATGTGTCCCTGGCTCTGAAACCTAGCTTACAAATGGCTGCTTCTGGTTATAAGAGGACCTGGCTAAGATAGTAAAGGTCAAACCAACTGTATCATAAAAGTATGAAGATTTTCCCACTAAGAGAAAATCAGTAACAGCATCAAATCAAATATTTCATTTATATTAAAAAAACAAATTCTTAATCATAAATATATTGTATCTTTTTTTCCTAAGACACACTGGTCAGTATGCATGAGGCTTCAATTCAAGAATAATCCTGAAAGAGTGAGTAGCATTACCCTCTTTAGGTGTATAGAGTTCTTAACTTCTCAGAGTTTAAGAATATAATAAAGGACTAAATCATAGGTCACTAAGTCATACTGCCCCTCTGCAAGGCACCAAAAGATTATTCATTTAATCACTCACCAAGTATTTACTGCATGCCTACTATGTGCCAAACACAGTTCTAAACAGAAGGAATAAAGTAAACAAGATGACCCAAACTCCCTGTTTTCATATTTACATTCTACTTGGGGAAGAGAGATAATAATTTTGAGTAATTACGACAAACGATTATTGACTCTCAGGTCTTGAAATAGGCACTGTTTAAGATGCAAAGAAGGAACAAGACATGGGTCTCTGCCCTCAAAGAACTTATAATCTAAGAGAGGAGATGAAATATACTTGGAAAAACTTCAGTAAACAGTCAACTTTCATACATTTAGCTTTAGTATAATCCATACTTTGGTATAACACACTATACAATGAAATCCCTAAGCCTGTCTACACCAATTAATCAACAGGCTTTTGGAGTTTCTGCCATATAATATTGCCTATGAACTGAAAGCTCATTTTTGGTAAAGTCTTATCTTTCTATAACAGCATTATTCTAAGACTTGATTACATTTCATCAACGTGTCTGTTTTTGTGTCAACCTAATACTTTTACAAGATAAGACTGCCCCTGTCGGAACTTCTACCCTCTGCACAACCTCCATCCTCACCTCACTCGCTCACCTTCAGTCACTCTACCTGCACTGCCACGCTCCGGTCACAGTGGTCTCTTTGCTATTCCTGAACACGGTAAAAGCACCAAAGGACCGGAGACAGAGTTGCCTCCATCTGAGGGCTTCTATCCCTGGATTTTCAGGGCTAAAGCTTCACCTCCTTTAAGTCCTTGCTAAAACCTTACCTTTTCAACGACTGCCCTATTTAAAATTGCAAACTGGGTCCCCAGAAATCCTGATCACCCACCTTCCTGGCTTACCTCTTTCCCAAAGTACTCACCACTTTCTAACACACAGAACATGATGATCAATAAAACGTCAATTTTTCTACATGACACTAATCTCTGGGACTAATACAACAACTCATTATCCCTTGCATCCCCAACACTTCCCAAGTACGTACCTCACTTAAATGATCTGTTTATGTGCCCATTTCCTGTGGATTCTGATTCACAGAGTCTAACACGTAGTGAGATGCTCAATGTTTGTGAAATTGATGAAATGCCATATACTACACATCAGAGATTAAATTTCTCTTAAAGCAGGACATTTCTATTATAAAATCACACTCAGGTAATTAATTGGAGATGCCTCTTTTTAAAGGACACCTGAGGCGTAGTAAAGAGGCTGTTGCGTGGTTCATATCTTCAAAAAGATGCATTCAACAGTGCCATAAAAATAAGCATTACCTTAATGCACTCAAATCTAAAATAAATCAGGCCAAATTAATTAAGATCAGGTAAAAGGCTCTATGAGAAATGGTATTTATGTCTACTTTTGGTTAGATTTTTATTATCCTGTATTTTGGCAGAGAAAAAATGTAGCCAACAGAAGTCTGTAATGCTAAGTCAAAGTTTTAGTGAGGGGGAGGGGGCTGAGTGGAGGGGAGCAAAGGGGGGAAATGGGGGACATCTGTAACAGTGTCAACAATAAAAAAAGTTTTAGGGAGTAACTGAAAAAATATATTCTTTAAAGGCTGGTAGAGGCAAGTTTTACAAATGGTTATAAATTCTTTGAGCCACCTCCCATTTGAGGTGGAGTCTGATTTCCCAGATCCTGCCACCTGGGCTGGCCTTAGTGACCTGCTTGTTCAAAACAGGTCAGAAAAGGTCATGGGGTTTCAGCAGGTTCTTTGGAACACTTGCTCTCTGAAGCATCCTGTCTGCATAGCCATCATCATACTCTGAAGAGCCCACGCCACACGGGGAGGGGAGGACATGTGAAGGTGTTCTGGTCAACAGCCTCAGCTAAGCCCAGCCTTCATGTCACTCCAGCCCAGTTGACATGTGAGTGAAGAAGCTCCAGATGACCCCAGCCCCGAGTCATCTGAATCTAAGCCGGCACTTGGGTCTTCCGAGCTCAAGCCCCAGATACTGCGGAGCAAAGACAAGCCATCCCTGCTCTGCCCTGGCTGAATTCCTAACCCACAGAATCTGAGCGTAATAGGATGGCTGTTGTTTCGCACCACTAAGCTTAGGGGGTGGTTAGAGAGGCAAAAGATAAACTGAAAAATGAGTGCCACCCCAAAGCCTAGCTCTAATTACCATATTTCCTTTCTCACCACCTAGATTGCATTATTTAGTACAGATAAGTCATTCATCCAGAGGTCATGTGTCACACAGATCCATGCTCTGGGGTAGGGCAAATAAATTATCCCAAGTTAACTGACAGCTATTAGCCATTCGTTTTTTAGGCATCTACTGCCATCCGCTGAATCAATAAGGTTGAAGTGAAGTAACTAGATAAGTGCTATCAATATAGATAGATCACTACATCTCAGATCAAAGCACACTATTTCAATAACACTATGTGGAAAGGAGAAACGGTAACATTATGACTGTTGTTATGAGGCAGCTACTCACAAAGCTCCATTCTGTGCCCACAACATTAATAAAATGTTTTTTCCCCAGGAATCAATTCATGAAACTGAAAATGCACATTTCCAAAATCTGTTTCCAAAAATCTCTCCGTAGGATAACAAGGATGTATCATAGATCAGAAATAATATTAGGTAAAATTCTGATGTAAGAAAACAGGCTTAAATCAATAAAAATCAGACACACCACTTCTTGCTTATTTTTTAATGCAAACCAAATCAATCTTATCACACAGTGCTATTTAACTGGAGAGCTCAAGGCCAAGAGGAGAGCTCAAGGCCAAGAGTATGAGATCTTTTATGAGAGTAGAACTGATTTTAGAAGCATTAAAATAAAAACAAGTACAATTAATGTATGTCTCTTACAATGAAAATATTTTTTAAAGTGAAAAAACAAAAAATAAAAAATCCAACTGCTTCCCTTTCAATATAACTTTTCTGCAGTTAACACTGCCCCCTAGTGATACAAAATAAAAGTCTACTATCAGTAGATCTTGTAACATAGAAAACCACACCTGAAACCTGTATGTTCATATTAACCACTGTCACCCCAATAAATTTAATTTTAAAAAGTCAACTATCAGAAAGCAGATGTCAAACGTTATTGTTCATTTTAGTATTTTAAGTCAGGGCATCTAGTCTACAAATTCCACCAAAGAAGAATAAACAAATTCAGGATGACCTATATTAGCTACTCTATGTTAAATTACAAACTCTTTTCAATGCACTAAATCAATGACACTAGTTCATGAAACAGTAGCTTTAAAATATTATGGGAATGAAATTATCACTACACAGTGAATTCTATTTTCACATAAAATTGTGCAATTCAAGAAAGACCCTGAAGGCTTATTACCTGTGACTTACAAGGTAGGTAGGATAGTTAGATTAAAGTCTCACCACCTGTAGAGAAGAAAATTCTACAGGAAGCAAGCCAGGCTTGTCCTCATGGCATGTGTATCAAACACACTGAAAAGTGTCCATATAAACCAAGGCCTCACACACCTGCCAGCTTGATGATTAGGATACCTGGCTCCTCATTTTAAGAAAAAGCTCTAGAACAAGAGTATGTTTGGTTGCTAAGTATTTACTGAGCCCAGGAAATTTTCTAAGGAAAGAATGACTTACCAAGGGTGGTGCCATCCTTGCCCATGATGCACTCCATCGAGGTGATGATCTGCTGCACAACAGGTGGCGACAGTGACGTGGCATACACTGCACTATGAGAATGTGTTCGTAGATAGTCTATCAGCTCCTGGGGAGTTCACAGAAGCAAGGCATCAGAGGCAATACTTGAGTTCACCGGCAATGTCACTGCCTACCTTCCAGGGGAAAGCAGGCTCCGCCTCTCTTCAGTAGCACTGGAATAGGACACTGATCTGAGAGGCAAGGTCGATCGACAAGGTCAAAACATACTGGCAGCAACAGCTGGGTCAGACACCTGGCAACGTCCTTAGGCTTTGTTTTGTTTTTTAAACATGCCACAACATGGAAGAATGAGAAACTAGTTTTAAAGAAGCCCTCTAAATTGGGATAGCTATCATTTAGTGTTATAACTAGATCTACAATGCTGAATTAAACAAGAAAGTGTCTGAATTACTTCTGGACAAATGATTTACTCATAAGTATTACAGAAAATATCATCTGCATCTTACCCCACACCTGCAAAAACCATCCTTAACTCCCAAATCAGAGAGAGACAGTTCTCTAAATCAACTTTAAAGGCATTAAATGGCCTCCACACAGAGATTTACAAAATGATATGTGACAGAAATTCACTGGGTCTTTCATGAGAACACGAAAGCCTACAATAAAGAATAAAGAAAAACCTTGTCTGTCAGATACAAGGTTTTCAAAGCCATTAGTTGTCTATCCCTAATCTCTGATACCTTCTAACATCACCAAATCTTTCAATATTCACACAAAAAAGCTTATGTATCAGAACCAAGAAGACACATAATGTGGCTTTTTTACAGTATATCACTTTAAACAGACTCAAAATTGTATAAAACCCACAATAGCATAAATATACTATACCTAAATGATCTCCCAGAGTACAATTTTTCTATCCTTTAGTTTAGCAACAAATCTTACCCCAAAGCAACCAACTCTCAAAACATGGTCCCATTAACAAAACTGGAGGTAAAAAAATCTATCAAATTTGACTAAAACCATTGATAATGGATTTTCCCCAAAAGGTAATCAATTATTAAGAGAAAGTTCATGCTTTAAGATTTCCAAAGTTTTAAGAGAAATTAAATAAGTTTATGAGTACCTACTATGTGCCACATACAAATACTTTACATTGTTCTTTTCCCTAAAACTGCAGTTTTTGAAAATGACAGTTTTAATGAGATGTAATTCACATACGATAGTATTCACTTTTTAAAAGTGTACATACAATTCAGTGTTTTTTAGTATATTCAAGAGCTATACAAAGTTCATCACTACCTAATTTTAGAACATTTTCATTGCCTCAAAAAGAAACCTCACACCCATCAGCAGTCACTTTCCACTTCCCCCAGCTCCTCAGCTCCGGCAACCGCTAGCTTATTTTCTATCTCTTGCCTATTCTGGATGCATCATATAGAAGAAATAATATAACATGTGAACTTTTGTGGCTCCCTTCTCAATCTTGTAAGCCAGCATGTTTATCTCTGTTTCACTGATAAGGAAATTGAAAGGTTAAATGCTTTGCCCAAGGTCTCACAAAGTTAGGGAACAAGTCAAACCCAGGCTGCTGTCTCTATGGTTCAAACATTTCTACCACGCCACACCCCTCAAATGCCTCAGAGGTCATTATATAATTTTTAAATTGAAAAAAATAAAGCCTTATAATACACCAGAGCTAGCAAAATAATCTTTTTTTCTTCCTGTCTCTATGCTCACTCAAGATGCATTTGAGTCCAAGGGCAAGGAACTTGGTCTTTTATTCCCACTGGCTCCCATGACAACCCTACTACTTTGAAACTGTGGCCAGCAGGCAGCACCACTGTGTGCTCTTTCACACAAGAGGGCATCTATATATCAAGCCAGCAAGTAGTTTAGAAAGAAGCTCAAATAAGGAAACAACAAACAATGAACAGAACCAGCCTTTAGTGCCTCAGAGTCACTCACCAGCAGCTGAAGTGTGAACCCGCTGGCACCATGAGCCTAAGCCACAAAGAACTTCAGGACCTCCACACCCCAGTTCGGATGCTGTCTGCCTGACGTGACTTACTAAGCCTAGCAGCCAGTCCCTTTCTCCTTTACTGCTCAATAATCACGGCCCATTTACCTTCTTGCCTCCAATGTATCCTCCAGAAGCACCAAAGCTCTTGGTGAATGTTCCCATCATAACGTCCACATCCTCAGGATCTAGGCCAAAGTAATCTACTACACCTCGGCCAGCAGGCCCCAGAGCCCCGATGCTGTGAGCTTCATCTAGATACAGGTACGCCTTGTATTTCTTCTTAAGGGCAATCACTTCAGGGAGGCGGACAATAGATCCCTCCATGCTGGCAAGACAGAGTAAAAAATATGTACACTGAGACTTCTTAACTCTCAAAACTAGGAGCTGGACACTTTACTATTATTAATTTCTTAAGTTTATTGCTTTCTGAAATAGTCTAACAACTTCTATGGTTTTAAACTGGCAAAGTCAGAGGCTGTCATGGCTAGGCAGCCAGAGGTCTAGGGGAAAGACGACGGGAGCTTTTAAAACAAGTACCAGGACACAGTCTTAATTCACCCAGAGGAATAAAAGTCACAGCAGTTTCTTCTAAACCTTGTCATTACAGGCAACCTTAGACTCTCATCACATTGTGTATGCAAATGAAATTGTACAGAAAGAATTAAAACACATTAGGAGGTAAGACAATAAGTGCAAGGGCTGCAAACAGGTAACCAAAATAAAATATTTCTTAAAATTAAATGGTGAATAACTTGTTTTGACATATTAGAGAACATTCCAATTCTTGACCCTATGTATAAATTCCCTCTACAAACAGAAAAATAAAGGATCCAAATAGAAGGGGGGTTTGGGGAACATGTGGCATGATGGAGAGTAAGAGCCAGACAAAAGGATTCCTGCCCCAGGGCTAACTCTGCTTCCAGGCACTTGAACAAGTCACAGACACTGCTTCCTTAGTTTCCAGAGGGGTCTAATTAGTGTTCCTTTCAAAATGAAGTGAAAATGAAGTGAAGCTGACAAATTCCAAGACTTCATGGAGCCAAACCTGAAAGGTAATACTAATAAAGCAGGATTACCTATATATTCCCTCCACAAGGATTAGAATCTTCTTCCAGGGCCTTCGTGTCCGAGGCTGACCATAGACAATGGCATCTTTCAATAGCTTCTCCAGGCTTTGCATGTCTACAGCACACACACAAAAGGATGTCAGCATAAAGTACCTTCCTCTTTCCTAACTTTATTCCAGAAATGCAAATATACATTTCTTATTCAGGAAGTATGTCTCAGATAGCAAAGGGCATTAACAAAGTCAAAAAGAGGGTAAAATGAGTGAGCTATTGCTAGCTTGAACTAAAAGAGGGTAAAATGAGTGAGCTATTGCTAGCTTGAACTAAAAGAGGGTAAAATGAGTGAGCTATTGCTAGCTTGAACTAAAAGAGGGTAAAATGAGTGAGCTATTGCTAGCTTGAACTAAAAGAGGGTAAAATGAGTGAGCTATTGCTAGCTTGAACTAAAATCTCATCTAAAGTGTAACAAATGTTCAAAACCACAGAAACTCAACAAATGACTGCCACACAGTTGAGTCAGTTGGTTAGCAGGCTTATGAAATGACCAGTGTTTCATGTTAAATACCTTGCAATTCAGCTAGCTTTTTTTGTATTTATAAAATAGACTGTATCTTTAATCCTAGTGAGTCATTCAGAAATAATGCACTAAGACGACTAAGAGTATGAAAAGCTACTATAAATACATACACCTTCTAAAAATAAATATGAGGAGAAAACTTCAAAGTACATGCCCATTTCCTTTTGCCTTATTCTTTTTTTTAAACTTTTATTTTTTAAATGACTTTACTGCTTTGAGAGAGAGAGGAAGGGAGAGGGGGAGAGAGAGAGAAACTTAGATGTGAGAAACATCCATTGGCTGCCTCCTGCACTCCCCCTACTGGGAACTGAACTGGTGACTTTTTGGTGAGCATGGGACAGTGCTCAACCAACTGAGCCACATCGACCAGGGCCCATCTAAGATAGTCTTGATAAATGCTTGTCAAATAGCTTTGTCTTGGTAGTCTGGTTAGGGCTTTAGGATGAATTCCTAAATGCATGAATCTGTGTTAAGCAAGCTTGGCAATCAGTTGAGGTGGTTCCTGCTTGATTTGATTGGCTATCTGTACACAACCAAGTTCTTGTGGCTCTGTTGGTTCTTAAGGTGGTTAACAGGTCTAGGAAACAATGTGGCTGGTACTAGCATTAATGAGGGTCATGATTTCCTGTTAAAGATAAATGCTTTGAAGACCACTGTTGTCACCACTATTGATTTCATACTTAAATTTTTTGCCCTGAAACACTGCCCTTAAGAATCCCCTCCCCACCAAAATCTATGCAACATTAAGTCTGGGGTGTATTTAACAAGGGTGAGAGGCACCCCATCATAAAATCTGATTTTATAGTTTTTATTGCTTTTCACTAAAGAAGGGGGTTACAAAGTTACATGATTTTGTTCTTTTCATAAAAAGGATTTTGGTAGAAATGAGAAATAAGGTAATACAAACACATACCACAAACACAAATAAGATAGCCATAGACTAAGACTGTGCTTATACATTCAGCTTTTCATAAGAACACAATCTGTTGCTACCTAACCCAGAGACAGGAGATGCTGCCACGGATGTGTGTGATCTGAAGCTACTCATCCTGCTGCAGAGGGCAGTGTGTGGAAATCAGCAAGAGCCAGTAAAAATGTACTCATTGTTTTAGTTTCCTCTGTTTACATACAGAAGAGAAAAATAAATATTGATTCAAAATTTTAGATGAAATTAACCATATTGTCAACTTAGGGGGAAAATCCAGTATCTCTCTCATATCATGTTCCACAAATCCCATATGAAAATAAAGATTTAAATCAAAAACATACCACAAAACTACCAGAAGAAAATAATAACCCTATTATCTTAGAATATGGAAGGCTTTAACACAAAACCCAAGCCATAAGACAATAAATGTAACAACATAAGCATTGTATTAAGTCTGCACAGCAAAACACTAAAAACAAAATTAAAAGTAAAATTAAAAATACTGCAACATAAAAGATAATATGAAGGGCTCTTACAATCATTAAAAAGAGAAATCGTTTGAAAATGGCCAATTTAAAAAGAAATAAAACACAATACTATATAAAAAGTTGCTTGACACACCTAATAATCAAAGAAATAAAAATTAACGTGTTATTGACTTATTAGAGAAGGGAAGATTTACAATGATTCGTAATGGCTTATGTTGGCTTGTGACTCACTGTCATGTTATTGAGTAAAAGTCTGTACAATGGTTGGAGGCAATTTGGAAAAGTACAAAAAAAATGCGTGCCCTTTAACCAGGCATTCTCAGACTGCTAGGAATTCATCCTAAGGCACTAATCACACCATTGAGCAAAAATGTGGGCACAGGTAGAACCGTTTCTAGTAGAGAAATTTAGAAACCACTTCGATGTCCAAACTGAGAGATGGGCTGAATAAGGGCACTTCCTGCCTGCCATCCTGGCATTAAGGGAGGAGGAGAGTCACATATATTGCCAAACAAAGTTCACGATGTGTTGTAAGAAAAGAACAGGTTCCACAATGGTGTTTAATAAATCCCATTTACATAAAACAAAATGCTCTTTGCATCATACTCATTGTAAAACATTTTAGATAAGACGTAAGACAAAAGGAAGAAAGTTATCACCATCTGTAACCTTCCAACCAGGAGCACAGGCCTACCATTTGGGTGTATATTCTTCTAGACTTCTCTTTGTATATGTGCACATTTTGATAAAAGATGATTTTAAACATACAGTTTATTAATCTTTCCACCTGGATGTGTTTTAACTGCAAAAGTTATGCGTATTGCAAGTAATTTTTTTAATAATACACAAAGATATTTCCATTTAGGAAGTTTTGGCGTAGTATCACCTTTCTCTGTGCTTTTACAGCATTTGTTCACATCCGTATCTCAGTATCTGTACGTTGTATTCTAACTATTGGTTTGTCTATAAGCTCTTCATTAATCAATCAGAGATCCTTGACATCAGGGATCCTGCTTTATTCATCTCAATATCCCCCAGGTTATGGCAAGATACACCACAGACATCTACTAAATGCATATTGAACAAGTGACTTGTAAACAAGTCAAATAAAAGGAGAATGTTGTATTTGTACCAAAAGGCTTCCTTCAGCCTTTATTTTTATTACAATGAGGAATAACTTTTAATTAATTTATTAATTTTTTGAGAGAGAGGAAGGGCGGAAGGGGGGAGAGAGGGAGAGAGGGAGAGAGAGAAACATCAATTTGTTGTTCCACTTATTTATGCATCATTGGTTGATTCCTGTATGTGCCCTGACCGGGGATTGAACCCGCAACCTTGGTGTATCAAGATGAAGTTCTAACCAACTGAGCTACCCAGCCAGGGCCAGAAAGACATTTTATTTTACTTTTTACACATGTAGGGTGTTTGTTCATAGGAAGGCCACGAGTTTTGTGCCCCCGTCACAATGACCCTGAATTCCTGTTGGGTATGTTATACACAGAGGAGCCATTTCTTCAGGCCCCCTGCTCTGAGCATACCCTACAGAAAAGACATTTTAAATGTTGCTACTTCATTTTCATTTATATTTCTTATTATTAATGTAACTCACATTATCACTGACACTAACCCAAAGAATACTAAACACTAAGGCCAGCAGCGAATTCCACCACAAACTCACTGTTGTGTTTGAAGACTCGAATGGTTGCTCCTGAGAGTCGGGCTCCCAGAACCAGTGACGCGTGGTTCAGTTCATCACTCAGAATCAAGCAACCCTGCAGAACCACAAGCACAGAAAGTAAGAAGCTGGGGTGGGGGTGGGAGTGAGAGTGGGGGCAGGGGAAATTTCATCACACAAATTACCAAATGCTAAAATCGTTAATAATAACTATGTCTTATTAAGGAAAGCTTGTATAACAGCAAAGCTATCAATTTCAAGACAAAAAAAAGTATACTTTTTTTGGCAAAATTAAAGTAGATGCAATATTCTAGACTTTTAATTTCTTCATTCCTGAGATGGACATAAATATTCAGATATATCGCAATAGGTTTTTATTTATATCTAAAATCTATATATCAGATATTCATAGGGTTTCAGTTTTGTTGGTTTGATATCATTTCATAAGTTTTGGTATGATGTACTATTTTATTCATGGAAAAAGTGTTTGGGGGAGAAGGCAGCTGAGGGAGTAATGCCTATGGAAATAATGCATTCTTCTTACCACTCCTAAACTATACCCAGAGTTCAATGAGGATCTGATTCCACTTATTAATCTATTCCCAAAATGACATGGAGTGTAGGCTTAGTTTTACTCTTAAAAGTCTCTGAACAAGTTTTACTTTAAACCCATGTAAACATGGGTTTCTGCTAAGGTAACAAGAAAAGTCTGCAGCATTCAGGATTTTTATTTCTTCCCCAGTTCTGACTCTCCCACATCTCATGGAGATTCCGACCTATAAAATCGGAACACAGAAACAGGTTTTTCTCTGTCAGTAATGGCCTCAAAATATCCCATCCGATGAAAAAAGGTACAGAAAGTTATTAGCATGCTTCCAGGAGAAAAGGGAGAGAAGACATACAGACATATACATATTCCTATTTATTACAGGGTTATTCTGGATGGATACTTAAGAAACTTGCAATAGCAGTTGTGTGTCTGAAATTTTTACTGTATGTGAGGTTTTTATTAAGATTAAAAAAAACTCCCTAGTTAGAAATATGTAGATTAAAAATGAAGAAAAGTAGTTGGAGGCACCCATATGGATTGATAGTTTTAAAAGTTTATGTATCTATACACATGCACACCAATCGATAAGTGTATCCATCAGTTAGAATACATGCTGGTATCTTTCTAGCTCTATCCACTGAGGGGTGAGAAGCAATGATACCCCAGTAGCAATAAACACACCAAACCTTGGTTTCTAAATACTATGTTCCAATAAAAGGAACCAGGGCTCAATGGAGAACTACGTGGTTGACCCCAAGGTTAGGACAGGTAAAAAGAGCCTGGCACATCTTGTTATGCTACAAAGAAAGTGCTTTAGAAAAAAGAGGGTGCATATTCACAGTATAGAAGCCCATCTGAAAGGTCTCCTAATGGCCAAAACTGGAACCTGAGCAGCAAAATTAAAAGTAATCTTGTTGAACCCAAATAATAAAATAATTCATGAATCCAGTGATATAATAGGGGAGAAGCAACAACTCTTCCCTCAGAAGAGTCAAGGGCAGGAAAGACTAGGAAAGACAACAACTAAATGCAATGAAAATACTCGACTGGACACTGGAACAGGAAAATGGTATTAGTGGGAAAACTGGTGAAACTGAAATAATTTCTGTTCTTTAGTTAGTAGTACTGTATCAAGGTTAGTTTCTTGGGTTTGAAAAATGTTCCATCATTATGTAAGATATTAACATAAAGGGAAGGGTATACAGGAACTCTCTGTATTCTCTTGCAACACTTCTGTAAGTCTAAATTTATCTCTGGGAAAAAAGTGTTAAAATAAAAAAAAAAAAAAAAAGAAAGCTGGGGAAAAAATGGAGAGGCTGAATTCCTCTTCTGCCAGTCTTCAAATCCTTTCCTTACTCACTTACCCATTCTTGGCATTCTACTGTACCTTAAAAAGGATCCCCCTCCTTTCCCTCTATACAATTTTATTTCTTCTCTTTCCACCTTATTTTATTTCTGGCAAAATTTACAATAATTGTGTTCTTTCTGTTTATCACCTCCTTTTTAGGCTGCCTTATTCACCATTTCTGTGCATCAATCTGTTTTTTTCTTGTAATATACTATGAGGTTCTATTATACCACCTGTTCAAGAGTAAAAATTAAATGTCAACAATTAACATCTAAATGCTTAATATGTTTCAGGCATTATGTTAAAGGTTGTAAACACATTATTACTTTTAATCCTTGCAACAAATCTGTGAAGTAGGAACTATTATTATCCCCACTTTACATATGTGGAAACTAAGGAGTTAGAAATCTTGCCAAAGGTCACAGCATATAAGTGACTCATACAAATCTTCTGCTTCTAGAGCACATGTTCATAGTTAATATGCTGTCTGTCTCTGACTTGAAGCTGAATCACCAATCACCTCCCGCAGAAATTTAGTATAAGATTTAAAGAAATAATAAAATGATTAGTTGCTGCCTTGAATGGATTAAATTATACTTAATAACATTTCAACTACAATGTTTTATTTGCATGGTAAATGTTTAAGGTAGTATCTTCCATGTCTGAATATAAGATATTCATGGACTATAAAATATTCCATGTCTAATTCTAGATAGTGATTGTTAAGTTTGTGAGCACACAGGAGAAGCAGGATGAGATTTAACCCTTTAATGTGAAAAATTCTAAGAAATTCCAAATAAGAATCTCGTTTATGATGCCAAAATGTACTATAATCAATGTGAAGTCAAAGAACCATACATTTGTGTCTCAAGAAATTTGTTCATTGTAGCTAATTTGTTGAATTTACCAGCACGAAGTTATTCTTAATATTTCCTTATATCCTTTTAATGCCCATAGGACATATAGTGATGTAGCCTCTTTCATTCCTGCTACTGGTAATTTGTCTTCTCTCTTTTTATCCTGACCGGTTTGCCTAGAGATATATCCATTTTATTTGTTTTCTCAAAGAACCAGATTTGTACCACTGATTTCTTCTACTGTCTATTTCCTAATTCATTGATTCTACATGTACCTTTATTGAATCCTTCCTCTGGAATCTTTGGGTTTAATTTGCCCCCTTTTTCCCTAGTTTCATATGGTAGAACTTTAGATGGCTGATTTGAAACTCTTTTTTTCCTAGTATAAGCATTTAAAGCTATATATATTCCATCTGAGCACTGCTTTAGCTTCCTTCCACAAATTATATTACATTTCCAGTTAGTTCAAGTATTTTCTATTTTGCTTTTCTTTGAGCCATGGGTTTTTATATGTACTGTTTACTTTTCAATTATTTGAGGATTTTCCAGATATCTTTGTGTTACTGATTTCTAATTTAATTCTATTATGGTCAGAGAACATATTTTGAATAATTTCAGTTCTTTTAAATTTGTTAAGGTTGGTTTAATGGCCCAGAAAATGGTCTACCTTGGTAAATGTTTTGCTGTTGTTAGGTGAAGTATTTCATAAATGTTAAGTTGGTTAATTGTGTTTTTCAAATGTTCTATATCCTTAGATTTTCATTCTAGTTCTACCAGTTATTATTTTTTTCAATTTTTATTGATTTTTAGAGAGGGAGGGGGAGGGGAGAGAGAGGGGAAGAAAGGAAGGGGGGGGGAGAGACTCTGATGTGAGAGAGAGACATCAATATCAATTGGCTGCCTCTTGCATGTGCCCTGACCAGGACAACACTCCAACAAAATGAGTCACACTGGCCAGGGTTGTTGAAAGACAGCAATTGAGATGACTAATTACAATTCCGTATTTGTCTGTGTCTCCTTTTAGTTTCATTAATTTTTGCTTCATGCACTTTAAAGCCCTATACATTTAAAATTCTTGTGTCCTCTTAATGGAGTAACTCCTTTATCATTACACAATGTTCCTCTTTATCCCTAGAAATACTCCTTGCTCTCAAATCTTTATGTTAATATAGTCATGACAACTTCCCTTTTATTTTAAATCCTCACCTGAGGATATATTTTGATTGATTTTTAGAGAGAGGAAGAGGAAGATGGAGAGAAAGAGAGACACAGAGAGGGAGAGAGGAACACTGATATGAGAGAGAAATACCAATTAGTTGCCTCCCTTATGCACCCCAATCAGGGGTCAAACCCACAACCTAAGTATGTGCTCTGACTGGGAATCAAACCTGCAATCATTTGGTGTACAGGATGATGCTCCAAACAAGCCACCCAGCCAGGGCATGCCAACTTCCTTTTGATTATTGTTTGCATGCTATATTTTTTCTATCCTTTTACTTTTTACCTATCTGTGTCTTTAAATTTAAAGCACATTTTTGATGGAAACCTTTTTATCTAATTTTGTCTAATTTGACAATCTCTGTCTTTTATCTGGACTATATATTTGGACTGTTTACATTTAATGTGATACCAATATAGTTGTGTTTAAATTTCCTCTCTTGCTATCTGTTTTCTAGTCTCCCATCTGTTCCCTGGGAAACCATACATTTATATATTTTGAAAGGACTTTAGAGTTAACCTAATTCAAGTACTTAATTTTACAAAGGAAAATTTGAGGCTCAGAAAGGTTGTGACATTGTTCAGTTACACAGCTAACTTTGACGATATAACCAACCAAACAAAAACTCAAGTCTCTGACTCTTTAATCCACTGATTTTTTTTAATATACCATTCACAGATATTGTTAAAATGAGAATAAATAACCTTGAGGAATTGTTCAGATGGAAAATACCAATTTGCTAAAATGTGATTTATAAAGTCTCTTTTCTCTACTGTCCCCTCACAAACTCTACCTGTAGATAATAAACACACACACACAATCTAAATGTGTATATATATATATACTACTTTTAACCCATATTATTACTTTTAACCAATGTTATTAACCTTTATTATTATTAACACACACACACAATTTGGCCATATGTCTCTGAGCAATATACACTACAGTGAGAACAAGTATGTATTTTCAAATTTTTCTATTTGGGCAAAACCATCTGTTAAATTTTAACTTTCCAAACTAAACATTCTTTCCTCCACAATTTTAGCCTTTAATGAGGTTTTATTTATTAGAATTCCTTTAAAGCTGTATGAAATGGGGGGGTTCGGGGGGTGAAGGGATCCTAATATATGGTGACGAGAAAAAATACAACTTTGGGTGGTGGGCATACAGAGCAATATACAGATCTTGTAACACAGAAACCTATACCTGAAACCTATATGTTCATATTGACCACTATCACACTAATAAATTAAAAAAAAAAAAAAGTATGAAATGAAGAAGGCAAGAGTCATCTAAAGAAGAGGAAATGATCATGGATTCTAGTAAGAAAGCCTCAACTGATGTAAGTCTCCATGGTATACACTCATCCAAAAATTTGTAATACAAACATCTTTGGGTAGACTATGATTAGCCTAAAGTTTACAATAGTTTTTGGCTTTCTCTGAATGTTTTATAAAACAAAATAAGATATATATAAGGGAATTTTCATTAATGACAGACTAAGTCTTACTTTGCTAACAAGAGCAGGAATGTTCATTGAATTTGTTGCAAATCCCATGCCATATGCCATAGCAGCTTCTACTCCCAAGAAACTTGCCACAAGCTTTTCTAGTTCTTCGTGCTTGTCCAGGTTTCCTGTGTGAAGAAGTTAATGAAGTCAATATCACCATATCCCAAATTTAAGAATCATTCATTACGTTATTAAAAGAAATCATAGTCGGAGACCTGGTCAAGATGGTGGAGTAGGTAAATCTGGTACTCACCCCCTCCCAAAACCACATAAAAAATACAACTAAATTTCAGAACAAACCATTATTCAGAACCGACTGAAATCTAGCTGAAGGAAAGTCCTACAACTAAGGATATAAAAAAAAAAAAAAAGCTACATCGAGACTGGTAGGAGGGGTGGAGACATGCAATGGGCTGGTCCCACACACACCTGCGGCAGATTAAAGTCGGGAGTGATATCTTGGCTGTGAAGGTCCCCCCTGAGAAGTGAGGGGTCTCAGCTCCCAATCAGGCCTCCTGGCCCAGGGTTCTAGTGCCAGGAAGAGAAGTCCCCATAACTTCTGACTGTAAAAACCAGCGAGGATTGTGGCTGACTGAAAGACTGCTGGAGTTCCAGGCATTCCTTTTAAAAGGTCCAAGCATGAACTTAATCTGACTCACTCGCTCTGGGTTCCAGCACTGGGGTAACAGCTCAAAAGACACCAGGGACACATGGGGAGGAACTGAACTGTCTGCCATCAGGGCAAGAGCTGGCAGGGCTGCTTTTCTACCAGACAAAAGTGCTGGCAGAGGCCATTGTTCCTTTTCTGAGACATGCTCCTGACCCCCACAACCAGCAGGCAGGCACCATATCTGAGTGTCCATCAACCTGGCTAACACTGTTCCCCCGGCCCTGGTGATATCCTGAGACCCTGCCCCACCCAACTTGCGGGGGCACCCAAGTTGTTTCCAGTGGCTTTTCCATACAAATGGCCCATCTTGGCTCAGACTTCTCTAAAATCTCTCAAACAAGCAGCACCTAGCCTTGTCATGCCCTGTACCTCTTACTAAGTGGCCCCAGGCCTGGACTAGCAGCAGCTGGCCTTGGTTCGCAGCTTGGCCTCTCCTGGGCACCTCCAAGCCCAGCACAAGTAGCAACCACCTGCAGACAGTTTTATAGCTCATGCCGAGTGGCCCCATGCAGAATACAGACAGTGGTTGACCTTGGCCTGCACCTCCTGGGAGGCCCCAGGGCCAGTGTGCCTGGTGGACAGCATCAGACCACATTGAAGCACCACCCAACAACCTCCACAAGTGACACATTTAAGGGGCAGACTCAGCAGGCACCAGAGCCCCACTGAAGTAAGGCCTGCTCTACAGAGTGAGCCCCTGCACAGCTAATCCTCCATGGTTGTTGCAGACAGTCCTTGCAGCCAATAAGTCTGAAGGTAAATCCCTCTCATTGATGTGCCAACAGCAATCAAGGTTCAATTACAACAAGAGGGTGTACACAACCCACATGATGGGGATGGTGGGGCACATCTGAAGTGCCCAATCAGGTGAACAGGGAGGCTGTGTCACTGGAACCTACAGGGTACCTACTAAGATAGGCTGCTCTACCATGCCCGGGAGAAAAAGCAGCTCTACCTAATACATAGTAACAAACACAGGGAGGCTGCCAAAATGAGGAGACAGGAGAAAAAAAAAAAGTCCCAAATGAAAGAACAGAAAAACCTCCAGAAAAAGAACTAAACAAAATGGAAACAAGCAATTTACTAGTTGCAAGCGTTCAAAACACTGGTTATAAGGATACTCGATGAACTTATGGGAAGAGTAGATGAACTTAGAGAGAACTTCGACGGCATAAAAAGGACATGGAAACCATAAAAAAGAACCAGTGAGAAATAAAGGATACACTAACTGAAAAGATTAGTTTACAGGGAATCAACAATAGAGTAGAAAAAAGCTGAGAATCAAATCAGCAATTTAGAATATAAGGAAGCAAAAAACAATAAGAACAGCAAAAACAACTAAAAAAATGAGGACAGTGTAGGGGGCCTCTGGGACAACTTCAAGTATACCAACATTCACATCATGGGGTTGCTGGAAGGAGAAGAGAGAGAACAAGAAATAGAAACTATTTGGAAAAATATGACAGAAAATGTCCCTTACCTGGTAAAGGAAATAGACATACAATTCCAGGAAGCTCATAGAGTCCCAAACAAGATGAACCCAAAGAGGCCCACACCAAGACACATCATAATTAAAATGCCAAAGGTTAAAAAGAAAGAGAATCTTAAAAGCAGCAAGAGAAAAGCAGTTAGTTACCTACAAGGGAGATCCCATAAGACTAACAACTGATTTCTCAACAGAAACTTCGCAGGCCAGACGGGATTGGCAAGAAATATTCAAAGTGATGAAAAGCAAGGATCTACAAACAAGATTACTCTGCCCAGCAAAGCTATCATTTAGATTTGAAGGACAGATAAAGAGCTTCCCAGACAAGAAAAAGCTAAAGGAGTTCATTGCCACCAAACCAGTATTAAATGAAAAATTAAAGGGTCTCCTTTAAGAAGAGGAAAAAAAGAGCAAAGATATGAACAATAAAATGGCAATAAATACATATCAACAACTGAATCTAGAAAACAAAATAAATGAACAAGCAGAAGAGAAGCAGACTCACAGATACAGAAAAGTTTTTGATGGTTGACACATGGGAGGGAGGTTGGGGGGATAGGTGAAAAAGGTGAAGGGATTAAGAAGTACAAAGTGGTAGTAACAGAATAGTCATGGGGAATAAGTACAGCATAAGGAATATAGTTAACATTCTAATCACTATGTATAGTGTCAGATGGATACAAGATTTATCGGGTGATCACTTAGTAGGCTACATAATGTCTAATCACTGGGATGTACACCTGAAATTAATACAGTATTGTATGCCAACTGTAATTAAAAAAAAATCATAGTCTACCTGTTACAACCTTTTCAAACAAAGGTATAAAGGAGTTGGTATTATGAAGAGTGATGGCTCATAAACAGCACAATAGTTAAATAACTTCAGATTTAGCAGCTGTGGTAAAATTTCAGCAAAAGGGCTGCCACCAATTTCTTCCTGTTCATACATGGCAGTTCCAGGCCTAGGGCCTGGAAACATCTGCTGTTATACTTCTGAAGTCAGCTGCCACACATAACAATCTAGCCCGTGGTAAAGAGAGAGGATGTGGAGACAGGGACTCCGGAGGATGAAAGATTAAAGGAGGGCGCAGCCTGCCCTCAGCTTAGCCCACTGCCCAGCCGAGGTGCAACCCTGCGACTGAAGCCACCTCGGACACTCCATCCTCAGCCATAATGCCCCACCCAACACCACATGGTGCTGAGGTCAACAGTAAGCCTTCCCAAAACTGCAGAATCACAAGCAAATAAACGTATGTTGCTGTTTGAAGTCACTAAGTTTTGGAATGGCTTGTTATGTAGCAAAAGACAGATTAATAGCATCATCTCTCACTATGATCTGGCTGGTAAATTTGTATTGTGATTTTACACCAGCACTCAATTCCTTAAGGACCGAACAACACTGATCAATGGGACTGGCTACATGCAAGGAGAAAAGGTGCTAAGAAAGAAGCCCGCTGAACTATGTGTCCTTAAAACCTAATCAAGTCATTTCACTCTCTGGGCCTGTGTGATTACTATGTGTTGTCAAGGCTCCCTTAACCATTGGGGACCCTGAGTGAGAACAACCCCGTTATACTTGCCAATCTCTAGACCCATGAGAAATAACAATGAACTGTTGTTTTAATCCACTAAGTTCTGATGTGATTCACAGTAACAAATATCCAGAAGGATGCCTTATGACTTTATGGTTATCAGTCACTGGAAGGAAATGGAAGAATTTGGAATATTCCTTTTAACTAAATAAATTAAACCTCTTTACATAAACCGTCATCCTTTGCATTTTACAGACTAGTACTACTAATAAAAAGAATTAGCATTTACTGAGTATTTACCATGTTATAAGCACTTTACATGAGTTGGCTTATTTAATTCTTAAAGCAGCCCTATAAGGTAGGAATTATTATTGGCCCCAAATTACCAATGTAGAGTTAGATTAACCTTCACATGTTCACAGGCTGATATTAAGTGGTGCTCTTCAACCAGTATCATGTGCAAAAGTCAATAATGTCAACATTAAAGTTATAAGCAAAACAATAGTACAGAACTTTTCGAGAGATACTCTGCATGTATAATGTAATGGAGAAGATAAATATATCTTAAAATGTGCTGAAGGCACTAAAATTATCCATCAATTCAGAAAACGTAGGCATTCTTTACCTGATCTAAACTACATGGCAAAGTATGTATGTGGACACTTAATATTCTGGTTCTCTACCCATATTATTCCCTCCTGAGTAAAAAAGAACATCAGGTAGTCAAACATAGCCTACACTCACCAATTTCCTGCCGAGTGCTGCACACGCCAACTCCATACTCCTCTAGGACTTTGGCAGCTGCCTTCTGACATGATCCAGTATTCCGTGCAAATCCAAGATAGTTGTAGGAACCCATGTTTATAACACCTTTAATTGTATTCCCTGTGTACCTGTATTTCAACAGCATGACAGTTCATGAAACCCATGAGCGAGTCAAATATTTACATGTGATAATAAACATACTGGTAATACCAAAGGAAGCACCATACATAGGAAATAGAGAGAATGTGGTCTAAATGAAAAGTAGCTCCAACTCACTACCAATAAGTGAAATGAAAGTTAAAATACCAATTTTCACTTATCACTAATGATAAAGAATTAAAAATGGACCATATCCTGTATTGGCCAGGACAGTTTCATATACTGTAGATAAGAATATCAGTTAGGACTTTTTTTTTTGGAAGGCAATTTGGCAGTACTTGTTCATTAAAAGATATACTCTTTGACTCAGCAATGCAATGCCCACACGCATATGAAAGGATATATACATAAAATCCTTTAAGACTCACTATTCAATTGACCATGTCCCTTCCCCGGGCACACAAACCAGTAACATTCCAAATTATGGAAGCTCAGACAGACAAGCCCCTCAAGTGAAGACGACATGGTTCAGAGGCCCAGCCAACCTAAAATGGACCTGAAGTGTGGACAAGAAATAAACTGCTCAGCTTTTAACTTGAGATTTTGGGGGTTTTAACACAGGATGATATAGCCCGACCTGCATGTATACACTATATACACCAATACTGTAGAATACTACAAATAAAGAGCTCTCTGAATATACATAAGGATATTATTGATATGTTAGCAAGTAAAAAACAAGGTGTAATATGATTTCTATAATATGATGCTATTCTTGTAAATCAAAAATTATCTGTGTGTAACCCTGGTAGATACATTATATACATACCTCATGGAAAACATCTGGTAACAAAACATCTGGTAACAACGGTTACCTTGGGGAGTGAGGATTAGTGGGGGAGAGGATGTGCAGAGGGATTGCGGTTAGTTGTCATGGGGGACTTTCCATTTATCTGTATTGTTTGTTTGTTTTTAAATGACACTGCAATCATGTAATACTAAACAACAAAATAAAATTTTATAAGTATAAAAAGTTTTCTAAACTATTCAATCAATTTAAGTAAAAACACTCCACATATCATTGAATCATTTGAGAAATCAAAATTTCTAAAAGTAAATTCAGATACTTGACTCTGGTAAGTGGTATAATAGAAAAGACAGTTTTTCTTTGTTTTGTTCTGTTTTAACAGGTCAAAATTTTGTTTTCAACTATAACCCATCATAGTATCAAACTAATAAAAAATGTATTTTAAACATCTCAATAACGAGTAATATGCAAGGAAACTAATCATGTCATACTGTATTTTCAGCTTCTACTGCTGTTTTGACAAAATACTGTCAAATTTGCAATAGAATATTTTCTAAACTCAAAAAAATTCCTTTTCTAATTGTTGTTAGGAAATAAATTTCCCAAACGAGACTCACCTGAATGACCAGTTGTAATCATCAGACTGTCTCTCCATGATGTCCACCCTGGCTCCAGGCACACTACAGATCGGTCGATTCCAGTTGTCTCTAATCCTCATATAGAGGTTCCTTGTATAGAAGTTTTCAAAATCCTGATACAATGACACAAAATCCTGCCAACAAATGGTGAAATGTCATAAATTTAACTGAGTTACTTTTTAAAAATTTACAACTTTCCTTTTCATATTGCAAGAGCACTTGAGAATGAGAGGTCAGTTAGGCTAAATTAACTGATACAAAAAACATTTTGAAAGGCATAAATTCTGTTTACTTTAAACAACTCTTAATCAGGTAAAAGTCACGTAGCTTTGATGATTGACCTATGAGAAATGGTCAAATGCAGAGATAAAGAACTGAACTATAATAAAGCAGGCCTCTAAAAATAAACTTAGTTGTACAATTCTGTCATTAAAGGTTTTCCTTCCTAATAAATTCAAAAAGTCTGCTCTTCTGTCTCCCTACCCAAAGTAAAATACTGATTGGGGAAAATGCCACAAATACCTCTATAATTTCAGTTTCAAACAAGAAAAATAATCTCAAAATTAAGAATTCATTCTTGGCACATTTTTAAGGACAAAAATGAAGCTAATTTAAAAAAATGATGAAAGCAAGAAACTCTAAGAAGTAGCTTATAGAAAGAGCCCTATCTCTGGTTCCTTTCCTTATATAGGAATTTTTAGAAAAATTAAAAAAAATATATATAAAAGATTCTCAAAATGAATTTCCATGACCAAGGACTTAAAAGCCCTTCTTTCCTCCCTGAAATTTTTACTAAAACTAAGACTGTAAAAAATAAAGTCACAGTGGAGCAAAAATGAATGAATTATGCTATGTCCCATGTGGTTTGACCACTGCTTAGAACACACATGACCAGACTATATAGAATCTACTCAAGTCCTGAAGGTAAAGAGTAAAACAAACAAACAAAACTGTACTACAGTTTTACTAGTCAGAAAACCACTCAGGTTATAGCCCTCGGGTCTGGGATTGGTGCCAATCTAAATTAATCTATTAAATAAGCTAATCAAAGATATTCAAAGTTTAAGTCTTATTTTATAAAAGATTTTCATTGTTAAGGCGGCTCTACATGAAACTTTAAAATTAATAACTTCTATGATATTGGACTCTAAAGTGCTTACTAAGTAAGCCTCACAGTAGATAAAATTTCTTTACAAAAGCCCAGCAGAGTTAGAAAGAAGTCTTAGGAATCTGCAGTACCTGATACCATCTCTCTTGCAACTGGTTCTAACATTTACATTTCTTTAGGAGAAAATAACTATAAATGATATGTCTATCACAATTACAAATTTATTACTTAAATAGTATGTGCCTTTTAATAGTCTCCTCTTCCAAAAAGAATATGATGAATGGGGCTTCTGGTCAAGATGAGGAAGTGGGTAAATGCGGTACCGGCACCCTCCCATGACCACATCAAAATTACAACTAAACTACAAAACAACCATCACCGAGAACCACCTGAAATCTAGCTGAACAGAAATCCTATAACTAAGGATATACAGAAGAAGCCATGACGTCACTGTTGAAAAATAAAAAATTCATAAATAAATAAATGTGCTGGACTAGAGCAATGCTGATGGAACAACCAGAAGAAAGGAAGAGTGGAATATGCAAAGGAGAAGTGATAAGCCCAGACGGCTGAGAAGGAAAGAAATGAAATCTAGAGGGCAACTGGCTTGGATCCTCAGGTGGAGGAGAGACTGAGGGTGAGAACAGAGACTGTCAGCTGCACAGATTTGCTGGTGAAAAGGGAATTCTGGTCAGGGGTAGGGCTGGGGCAGAGCGCACCGGGGCAGTGGAGGACGTGTGCAATACACATGGAGGAGAGGAAAGAGGCTGCCCACGGACAGTAATTCAGAAAATCAGCTCCACCATGGGAGCTCCAGTCTAAAACCAGAAAGCAGGTTTCACATGCCCCATGAGAGGAAAAACTGTTGTTCTCAAATCAGCACGCTAGGCTACACTGGCAATGGGGAGCAATCACTGATGAGCTGTCTGCACAGAAGAGCATCAACCTCAGGGCAAGTAAGTAACTGCATATCCTCAGTATTTTAAAATCTCAACACCACGTAAAAACTCCTTTTAGAAATCTTCCTTTGTTTCTCAACTTTTATTAAGTCACAGACAACATCAAAATGTCCAGACTGCCATGTTTCACATCTGGTATGGACTGAATTGTGAGTGCCCCCTCCCCAAATTCGTATGATGAAGGTCTAACCCCCAATGTGACTATTTGGAGATAGGGCCTTTACAGAGGTAGTTAACGTTAAATGAGACCATAAGGGTGAGGTCCTAATCCAACAAAGTGGCAACCTCATAAGAAGAGGGAGACACCAGAGCTCGCTCACTCTCAGCGCATTTGCACAGCGAGAAGGCACCATCTAGAAAAAGAGAGGCCTCACCAGAAACCAACCCTACTGGCACCTTGATCTCGGACTTCCAGCCTCCAGAACTATGAGAAAATAAATTTCTGTTGTAAAAAAAAAAAAGCCTGGACAGGCGTGGCTCAACGGTTGAGAGTCAACCTAGGATCCAGGTGGTCGGGGTTCGATTCCCAGTCAGGACACATGCCTGGGTTGCGGGCTCGAACAATGACTCTCTCATCATTGATGTTTCTACTCTCTCTCCCTCTCCTTTCCTCTCTCTGAAATCAATAAAGATATATTTAAAAAAAAAAAAAAGATTATGATGAATAAAAATTGGAACAGACACACCGAAATTCTAATTAAGGGCTTTCCTTTATTATTCACCAAGCATTTATTTTTCAAAGGAAAACACAAGAATATCTCCAATTCTTAGCACTGCTTCAATAGGGTAAACAGTCCTAACTCTTTCTCATTTCTTTACAACCTTTCTAAACAATGCACATTAATGTTAAAGGTATTAACTCAAATACTTGAGAGAAATACTCCACCACAAATTTTTATTAGCAAGGGAGAGCAACATTTTTTTGTTTTTTACAATATAATCATCAGAAAAAAACTTAAGAGAGTCTGGCCCTATATACCATCAGGGTTATCAAACCCCAAGACAGAAAAAGGGACACAGACTAGAATGCGGCAGAGCTTTAGATAACCAGTGACAAAGCTGTATGAGGTTAGGAGGGAAGGGATGGGTTCCAATCTCCTAAACAGAGACTGCCAAGGTCAGGGAGCTTCACCTCTCCTTTTCGTTTAATGATAGAAAACAGACTTGCACAGTGAAGAAGTTGTCACCGGGAGGGATGTTAGAGACCAAAAGCAGGTGACAGAAAGGTAGAAGAGAGGATTCCCTTTACCCCCTAGCTAAGTTCCAGGATAGCAGCTTTGACTGCAGTTAAAGTTAGGTAGAGAGAGCTGAAGGGTGGCTGACCAAACTCCCTGCAGCCTGGCAATGAAGTAAGAAAGGAGACAGAAGGGAACAGCTATTTGGGGTTCCAGTTCTAGGCAAGAGGAATGTCTGTTTCCCAAAAAATCTCATACACTTGAAATATTCTAGGACAGGGTTAAGCTAGAGGACTTTCTTTTCATTCATTCAAATACCTTTTACAGAACATAATATATGTTGGATTCTTGGCTCGTTCCCATTCACTGAGTACTTATATGTTCTGCCAAGTGCTTTAAATATATTTTCTCTTAAATATCTCTGCACCCTCTTACAGAAACTATTATTCCCACTGTCAGAAAGGCAAAATGGCTTTCCCAGTTAGGGAACTAGTCAAAAGCAGAGGCAGGAACTGATCCAGGTCTTTTTATTCCAAAGTCTGTGCTCCTAACCCAATGCCACACTGCCCCCCATTCTGTGCTGCTGCTAAATCAATCTGAAATACTCTCTACAGCAGAGGTGGGGAACCTTTTTTCTGCCAAGGGCCATTTGGATATTTATAACATTTCAAGGACCACACAAAATTATCAACTTAAAATTAGCTATGAGAAAAGCTCCTAGATTTATTGAATTTTGAGTCCTGCCAATTTTTGCCTTAGAAGGGCCAGAACAATGATACCACCCGCGGG